TCCCAAGCCCTGATGAACTGTTTTCAAGTGCGCCCCATGCAGCTTAATAGCCCCGGCGGCTGCACCACGTTATGCTCGAAATAAAAAGTGTCCAAATTTCTGGAGGCAATAAATTATCATCCCCAGATTGATTTGGGACGAGAGACAAGCTTTGATATCCTTGGCCCCGAATAAACCTTCAAATTAAATTAAAAAAGGTTAATAAAATATTAATCAATAAAGTATTGATTGAATAATCAGATATTTACAAGGGTCAACGGCTAAATGAAAGGCATGATTTGAGATGATGATATCGGAACTCATCTTTTTGGCTTTGTTGCTATATCATGTCGTCTTAATGTTGGATTATTGACCCATTAAATACCTTACGCACATCTTATTAATCATTCATTCATTTCTTTATTGACCCAGTCATAATCAATTAATTAATTAATTAATTAAGCATGTTGCAATATTTCTAACTCCTCATGCAGACTAATCAACGTATGTTTTATGATATCGTATTCGAGATAAAGAATAAAAGCAAAAAAAAAAAAAACTACACTATATCTAATTCTTTTCATTTATTTTTAATTTTCAACCTTTTTTTATGGCCTCTTTGTATTTTCTTTTTCTCTTTTAATGATACTACTTACTTACCAAAAAAAAAAAAGGTTGAGAATTAGAAATAAATGAAAATGAATTAGATATAGTGTAGTATCTCAACCTTTTTTTTTTTTTTTTTGTTGATTTAGTTCATTAGAAAATCACCAAAAAAAAAAAAAGGGTTGAAAATTAGAAATAAATGAAAAAGAATTAGATATAGTGTAGTATTTTTTTTTTGGTAAGTAAGTAGTATCATTAAAAGAGAGAAAGAAAATACAAAAAGGCCATAAAAAAACCGATCATTCTACCTTAGGACAGATCCTAGGATATGAACAAAAACACAACTTTAATAGACTGAAAACCTAATCTCTTCTTGTTTGTCTATCTTAAGCACGCGAATGATAAAAGACAAAGACATCCTATCACAAGATATGCCTTGTGATATGATCCACAAAAAGAAATCTAACCAAGATGAAGAACAATTATAGATAACATCATTCATACCTCAAGACAAGCCTTTGATTAGGAAAAACCCATGTTCGTCGCATTTGGTAGGCCAAGCCTTACATATAAGAATGTCAAACTTTATAAAGAGAGAATTCGATAAGGATAAAGAGAAATATGAAAGTTTCCATGGAATAATTCTAGCTCATGTAATGAATCAAAATTTGACACATATAAAGCACTTTACAATACAAATACCCAAAAAATAAAAACTCAACCGTTTAAGTGGGTTAAGATTGTTGTCAAGTTGTGAATTGTGATGCCTTTCAGCATCGATAAGATGTGATATAAAATCTCGGATTAATTGAATCTTCATTGAAAATGAAAACTCGTCTTGGATTTTGCTTGTAAAAGGAATTGCAACTGAAAGATGACCACTTTTTTAATGGGAGGTGAGGTGACTGGCTGCGGCAAAGCATGGCTTACAAAATTCAATAGTGGAGTGCTGATGATGATGAGAAAATCTCAAGTATTTCCTTAATTTACGTAACTATGACCCATCAAGGCCAAAAGTAATATATATATATATATATATTAAATATCTACTGAGAACGGAGAATTAATACGTGAATTATGAGAGGTGTAAAAATAATTAAGAGTTAATGACTTAATCAAAATCATTCTCATCAAATATATAATATTTGTTCTTTTGCTTCTGCAACTCAATCATCGGTTACTGGTACTAAATTAAACCCGGCTAATGGAAAGACACCAGGATTATAGCTCTTATGATAATTATTTTTTTGTTTTTCAAAATAATGATGGATAGAATAATAAATAAACAAATTAATATCCCTATTGGAGAAAAAAGAATAAAAACAAAGCGTGCTTAAACAGTAGTTTCTCTCTATCTTAAAGATAAAAGTTTGACTTAATAAAGAGAAAAAAAAGAAAGTTTAATCTCATCCGCTACAAAAATGATTCAGGCAAATGGGTTTTCAACAATCTACACCAGAAACATGAAAGTTGGATTACATATATGATTATGAAAATCAAGAAGATCCTACAATATTTTAAAAAGATCTTGAATATATGACTTCATATCTTCATTATTGAACTTACTATAATGATGTTTTAGATCGACAATATTGATGAATTGTTATTATTATGTCCTGATGGATTTGATCATTAATCTGATTTGATTAGCCACTATGACCATATTGCTGCACTTGAAATGTCGATAGCTTAGTTTAAGGTAACTCGGAAATGAATCTGATAAAAAAATGGACCCAAGTGAGAAATTGGACGTCGTAATTCATAACAAAAAACCATTATTTAGTCTCCATTAATGGTGCTAGCTGTTGATCACGAAGCTCGTGCAGTTGCTTGATATTTGTCAACATGGTCCTATTTATTATATTTCTTAGGTTCTTTAATCAATCTGATCAGATTGTCTCACCAATCAAAGGTCTCCGGCAGCCGCTGCATGACTCATATATATTAATGTCTTTCACAAACTTGAAATTTGAGATACGTTTCGTGCAAGAGATTCACAAATCACACTTATCATTATATAGAAGAATCAAGATTGTTAAAAACATTTTCTTCGCTCCATTACAGAATTTAGGTTAAAAGTTTGGTTACATATGGTCTTTTTCTTGGTTGGAACATTTTATTTATATGATCTAGTATACCATTGATGATGATCAAGAGAAAACAAAAAAGTTCCAGAACACTATCACCATTATGAGATAAACAAAAAATTGTAGAGAAATATAGATGCAGTAGCAATCCTGGAAAGAACTTGGAACTCGCTGAAAGAATTACCATGCTTTAGCTTGAATCTAAAAAACTAAATTCAGGAACAAAGCTAATTAATTATATGAGATTAAACTTCATCCTCCATCAAGTTGTTCTTCGGTAGTCTTTCTTTTTCTAATTTTACATTCATCTTCAACAAACTTCATTTGTGACAGATTAGAAAGGATAGACTTCTGAGAGTGGCTGGCTAAGATTCTAAGAAAAATCCTGAGAATTCCTATGATCAATCCCAGCTAATAGCTGCTAGGAATATATCATACTTCAATTTTCCGCAAATTCTTGAGAAATTCAACATAGCCAACAAAGAAAAGAAGTGGTGAACAATTGGTCAACTTTATACTTGTAAGAACTTCAATTTTCATTTTAAAATTTACCGATTTCTTTTATATATAGAAAAAGAACTTAAAAAAAAAAAAAAAAACACATACCAAAGAAACTATATGTGTTTTGCCACAGAATTCTTAATCTGTTCATCTTCATCAGCAGGTTAACTCATACTCGAACATAGCAAAATCCAGGCAACGAAAAGTGAACTAGTGAAGTATTTTGTAGACAGAGATAACATACGATACACATAAAGAGTTCAGGGCAACCGAATGCAGTTAGCAATATTAGGGGCTTATCGGATGTTTACACATCTGTAGGGGGTGTAAGTGATTTTCTTAATACAAATCACTAGCTGTCGTTCGTATCATGGATGCAATGTCGTTTATGGCTTTATGCCATAAACGACGTGTGGCCAAGGAAATGATTTAAAACTATTCTTTAGGAAAAATATTCTGTAAGTCCATCCAGAATCTCAGATTGACAGATATAGGGGCTAAATGATATTTTAAAACATATGGGGTTTATATGATATTCAGCAAAGGCATGACATGTCGTCTGAAGTTAAACGACAAGTTGTTTAACGGAAAACCGACATGCAGGTTGTGAATATTAACGACTTCCCATCCGGCCAAAGTAAAATTAACTGCAAGTCGGTTTTTTTATCTGACACCGTGACACGTGGTTTACAATGAGAACGACGTGTCGTGCATTCGTGGGGAATATAAAGGAAACCCATATAGTTCAGCAAATATATTAAAAGCAAAAATAATATTTTGGACCTAAGCAATATTTACCCTAGGTCAGGTACGAGATGTCGCTAGCTAGCCTGAGGAAAGTGTCGTTTTGCAAAAAAAAACCTTCGATTTTGAAATTTTTTTTTTTTTTTTAAAAATTCCTCATGTAAATCTTTTAATTAATAGTTTTTTCTCAATAATTCTCATTCTAAATTTGATTCTAATTTAAATAATATAAACTTTCTAATAGATACCACTTTATTACAACAACAAAATATTTTGAAATTGACTCATATTATTAGCAACGATTACATTAAATTTTTAAATAAACTATTTCAAGGATTTTTATATATCTTTATTATAATAAAGTTATAAAATTTGACTGAAACAATTAATATAATAATGTACTTATTTTTAATTCAATTTTCACAATTTGATAATTGATATTTGAAAATGAGTGTTAAATCAGAGAATCAATGGAAAACGATACGAAACTTGAGAGTATTTGAAAGCAAGTTTGAGGCTTTAAACTACCACTAAACGGTTTGATAGTAAAAGAATAAAATAAGTTTTATGAGCTCTTGAGTTTGAGTCCCCCTAGTCACTAATAGAAGTGACCATTGAGACTCTTATCTGATCGACAGTTTTAAGGTCTCAAAAGATTAATTAAGGTACGTATAAGTTGGACCGGACAACCCTAGTTATCTCTACGAGTGATCAAGACGGAGAAAGAGACTAGTCTACTGTTGGAACGAAAGTTGCTAAGCTGAAATTAAGATCAAGCCAGCCCAATCACAATAAGATATATATATATATATAATTAATTAATTTCTTAACATAATTGAGATTGATAATCTCTTTAACATATTTGTTGATCCTATATGTACTTCTTATTCTTGAATAAACCTACCATCTTCATAAATTAATTTTTCATACATAATTTTTCCGAAGGAAAAGTATCAATAAAGGACCCCAACCATAGGAGACAACAATTTTTTTTAAGTTCATGCATGCATATGCATAAGGGAAATCAATATGCTATCAAACTAATTAATTGAAAAGGAATTAATATTAGTTTCTATATATCCACTATATGGAGAAGCGGATAGGAGAAAGATCTAAAGAGCTCCAAAGAGAGAATTGATCATCACATTCCTTGGTGGAAGAAGAAGAAGAAGAAGAAGTAGATGACCCCATTTCTGTTGATGCCTGTGGAGTCCCAACTTGTTCTTGCACCTTCTCATCTAATTCCTTCTTCACTTCATTAACTCTGAGGTTAGTGTATAGATGTTCAGATTTGCCTTTTTCTTTGTGTTTTAAACACTCAGATACACCATTGAAAGCATATAGCGATGCTGAGAAATTACGCTCATACTTCATCCTCTTCATGGTCTCTGTTAGCATTGCTGGATCATGATCCCCATGAATTTGATAATCCTCATGCATTGGCTTCATAATCTCCTCCGCTATCTCAAATGGAGAACAATGACAAGATTTCCCTAGATCATCAACAAATCCAAAATCCATCACTTCCGTATTAATCTCTTCTTCAACTACTTGTCCCTCTAATTTCTTCTCTTCCTCATGACTACTGTTGTCGCCATCAACGTTGCTCCAGTTATCTTCTGCACGAGAACTGAAACTTGTGTCAAAACAATCCATCATGTAATCACTAGTAATCGTCGTAGTACTAGTGGTAAATGTAGCACTATCACTATTTTCAGTATTAACGGTGCAATCTTCAGGCACGTTGAAGAAATCATCAAACTGGCTGCTACGAGTATGATCTTCTATAGCATTTGCAGTTTCTTGAACCTGCAGGCTAACAAGCGAAGTGGTAACCATTGAAGTAGTAGAAGCATTGACATTATTGTTCCTAGCTTTAAGCCGAAGCAAGAGAAGATTCGTGATCTTTGAAGGAAGAACTGATTTTGAAGATGGGGAACAAGGCCAGAAATTTGTTCGAGTATTGGCTCCACGGAGCAAGCAAGCGGCTTCATCATAAGCTCTTGCAGCTTGTTCAGCAGTATCATAAGTGCCCAACCACACTCTAATCTTCTGTATGGTGTCTTTAATTTCGGCCACCCATCGCCCCGATGGTCGTTGTCTCACCCCAACGTAACGTTTTCTTCCTCGTCGAGCTCCACATAATGCTGCTGCTGCCGTCGCCTCCTCCATCACTTGGCTCCACCCCATGTTTTCCTTCACTTCTTCATCACCTTCAATCATCTTTCTTTTACCCAACATACTCCTCCTTTTATCTGCAGCTCGTTTGTTACGTTTTATTGAAATGTATTATATATTTATACGTAAGAATAAGAGGGATTATGATTGTGAGGGGTCTAGCCAGATAGATTTCTACTTCTTGTAGCTACTTCTTTGTTGTTTGTTTAATTCGGCTTTTGCATGAGACATGGAGATTTCACTTTCACGCGTTGTGGAGAATTCAAGAACATAGATGACTTATATACTTGACCAAGTCAGCTTAATTCTTCTGCAATTATTTAAAATTGCAAAATGAATTATACAATTTCTACAGTTTTCAATATGATTTTGTTCGAGTCGCTGGGTATTTTCAGTACTAATTTTTACGCTCTCGGATTTTGTGGGTTTATCCATCGTGGGGCTTTGAGTTATTATAACTAGTAATATTATACTTACAAAACAATCTTACAAACTTTCTCTTATAACTCCAACGTAATAACTCGTAATTGATCAGCTTGCAAATGGGTCTTGCCTGCTCGCTATGAGTCTTATTTGTCCATCCAATTCCGAGCTGTTGAGTTGTAAATTAACCTTTATCCTATTATAATTGGCATTATAGTGCCAAGCAAGATCAAAATTATTATATTAGCATTATAAATTAGCTGGAAAATTAATATAAAAGCCTTTGAAGTAAGTTAGCAACATTGTAGAAACCAATACAGTTAAAGAGACATATTGTAGGATTGTGTATGTAATTGTTACCTCTTATCATTTTCGTGGCTTACGACATAAACAATGAAATGAACGCCACCAATCAACATCAGACTTCAGATATCTTTGTACAGATAAACAAAAAATAATTCAATTTTATGGTATATTATAATTATTGATATGCCGCCGCTTCTAAAAGTGTGTAGAACATTGTTAAAAGATACTCTAGTTCTATAAGAATATTATTTTAATTTAAAAGGGTGTTAAAATACTGAAACTGGATATGAAAATCACAGAGAAAAATGGAAGGTGCAGAAGATTTGTTTTGTAGGGAAAGTCCAATGGAAAAGACGATTGTGCAGCCCGATAGGCCGCCATAATATTCTGCTGTGTCTGGGATTTTTTTTGTGTTGTTGCTTTCACTCTTCGAAATTACCACCATAGTTGATTTAACTCTTCCAATGCTGAACTCTGTTAATTTTTCTTTTATTTATTTGTTGCCGTAATTATAATTCGCTTGCTTTGTTCCCACCTACACAATCCTTCACCAAAAATTATTTAATTTGAACAGCATGGTGATGATGACAATTTTCTTTCAAATATAATTTTATGTTAATTATTTAATATCTTTATTGTTTATAAACCCATGTACTCTTTTTATTTCTCTAAATCCTATCCTTGTGTATTGAATACAGAATTCAGTTCTCAGAAGAAGTTGCTCCTTGCTACACGGGAATTGATTTGATGAGGTTTATCTTTACCTATTACCAAATTCAATTAGAATAAAAATGGATAATTTAGTTAATTTAACAAGCTTTATTTTATTTTATTTTTTATAACCGAGGTTTTTGGGCTAGCTCAACTAATTTTTGGAACCATTAAACACCCTACAAACTTAATGTTTGAAGGTAAACCACAGAGATTGACTATTAACACATATCGTTTAAGTGAATGATTATTTAGTAAACAATTTAACTTCATAACTATTTAATTCATTCCAAACTTGAAATGATATTTTAATTAATTTTTTTCCTGGTAAATCACAAATATGGTAAGTGACCCAAGGTGGTTTAAATTCAGTAAGTCAATCAAGGAAGGGCCGAACGACTTACGCATACCCAAGGTTTACTGAAACGACAAGTTGGTATCCAAAAGGTTTTAAAACGACAAATAGATACCTTCCGTCATGTTCTGTTAGTGATTTTCGTTTAATAATAGTGAAAAGACTAAAATGCCCTTGAAAGTTTAATATTTTAGTTTTTTATAAATTTAAAAATTTCTAAAAACCCCTCTAGGTTTGCTAATTTGACTAAATACCCCAATATATAAAAATTTTATAAAATAACAAAAACATCCCCGCCACCCGCGGTGCCTGATTCCGGCCACCACCGCCAGAATCTGGCCGGAAAAATTGCGTTATGACACAGACCCATCGGATCTATGTCGTAACGCGTAGATCTGACATTTTCCGGTAAGATCCGTGGCTGATCTGGCTGGAAAAGCCCAGATCTATAGCCAGATCTGGCCGTCGAGGCCGAAATCTTGCCGAAAAATTGTGTTCACGTCGATCTAGCATTTTCCGGCCAGATCTGGCCGTCGATACCGAAAAAGACTAGACGTAGATCTGGCCTTTTTAGGTCAGATCCGTGGCGGATTTGGCTGGAAAAGGCCAGATCGATGCATTACAACACAGATCCGACGAGTCTGTGTCGTAACACAATTTTTCGATCAGATTCAGGCCACCACCGGAATCTGGCACTGCGGGTGGTGAGGGTATTTTTGTTATTTTATAAAGTTTTTATATATTGGGGTATTTAGTCAAATTAGCAAACCTAGGGGGTTTTTTAGAAATTTTTAAATTTATAAAAAACTAAAATATTAAACTTTCAAGGGCATTTTAGTCTTTTCACTATTATCAAACGAAAATCACCAACAGAACATAACGAAAGATAACTATATATCGTTTCAAAACCTTTTAAATACCAACTTGTTGTTTTGATAAACTTTGAGTATTCTCCCTAAAGGAAGTAAACCTTCTTGACTACCAACCGCCAGACCAACCCCCTATGATTTGTTTACTGAAATATTAAGAGGAAAAAACAAAGAAAAGAGTAACTGCATCTAATACACATTAACGAAGATGCTTCATTCAAAACCTACTTAGATTTTAGATTAAAAGCAAACACTATCTTACTGTGGGTGAGCCATAAGGAAGAATCCCTTAATCATTTTCTCGTTTTAGTAGGTGATGATAACATAATTGAGATCGTGCCGCCAAACTTGTAAGTTGTAACCATTTGACCAAAAAAAGGTCAGAATTCAAACAACAATATAAAGTGGATTGAATTTGCAAACTTGGTTATGGTGAAGTTACATGCCAATACACAAAAAAGATCCGTGCACACTGCACACGCTTATGCCATCACACTTTTCACAATATGTACATTCAGATCTTTGCAGAGGAATGCAAGCTTAGGATAAACACTCTTTTGTGCGAACAACTTATGCTTTTTACTCTTGGTGAAGAAGAAAATTCATCAAGTACTTCTAATGAACATGGCAGTAAATGATGGACATTGTTCACCTTTCGAAGAGAATCAGCAAATCATACCTTAGGCTCTTTCAGAGGAAGATATAAGAGGACTATTAAGACTGTCAACATTTGAAGAGTAATGAACTGGCAGCAAGGCCGGATCCTGATAGGCGGTGATCAATTCATCAAAAAATTCACCCATGGTAGCATCATTCTCGTCTCCCCTGTCTTTCTTTATCAAAACCTAAAGACACAAAAACCCATATAAACATCAAGCAGGAAATTCTGAAGCAGCAGCCAAATATAACAAAAAAAAACCTAGTACTATAATCCCCCTGGCCATGGAATACAGCAATTGGCATGCAGAGTTACCTCAGCAGAGTAGGCAATGAAATTCGGTCGGAAGCGTTTCCGGCAGTATTCATTAAATAGAAGTGTAAGGACTGGAAGAGGAAAAATTAAAGTTGAAGCTAGAGAGAGTTTCTTCAATGTAAAGATTCCCACTGCAATACAATGCATGAGTACCAGAGAAAATATCATCGAATTGTGCACAATAGGCCAAAACTTCCCAGCAGTTTCATACTTCGGTTCATATACATTCATGAACTGCAACATAAAATCCCAAGCATCAGAAAGCCAAAATGAAATTCAAAAATCCTAAAAACTTCCTACTGCATAAAATATCTCCAAAATCTAGGCATTCATATAAAAAATCACAAATAGCTGATCACTTTTAATTGTAGTAACTCAACTACTCAAGGCACCATTAAAACTATGTTTGAAAACAGAAAAAACAAGTCACAATGAAAACAACACTTTCACCTAGGCACATATGAAAAGCACACTAACTTATATTTGTCACACCAGAGACAAACACATTCTTCAGAACAATTACTTTGCTCCCCCCTTCACCCACAAAATGAACAAGCACTAGAGGTCCTCACTCCGCAAATAGGTATTGTTATAATTTTAAAATAACAAAAATTTCATAAACCTGTACAGTCTCCAAAAGCTCGATTTTCAAAATCACCATTAAGTTGTTAAGACTGCAATAATCAGGCAGATATCACATTATCTCTGCTGTATTCCTATTCATTGTTTAACTTTGAAAGTAGCTCTACAATTTAATTAACTTCTTATTAAGTATGAGTGAAACAGTAGCAGCAACTGACTACCTAAGGCAATTTAACGAGTTATGGTTATATGCCCATTATTACAGCAGGACTAAATTAAAATCAACAGCAAAGTACTTAATACATGACAATGTATTATTAATCTCACTTGCAAAATGACTATTAAGATCATAAAGAGCCTACCCTGCAACAATACACTTGAAGGTAAAATTTTCAAAATGCGCCTAAGTTAATAGCTAACAATACAACTAGGAAGATAACATTGTCACATAGCCGACTAACCTGGTTACGGTAGATGATGTATGCAAGACAGAGGTAAATCAAGAGGAAGGGCAGAATTAGTGGAGCTAGGAAGAAATATGTAATACCAAGAAGTCCAAATAACAGAATTCTAGGAATGTCACTGTGGTACTTGACAGATGGAACTTCAAAATCATCATCTGTACTTTTAGTGAAAGGTCTTCTTATTATACTACATATAAAAGGTATTATTCGAAAGAGTTCTGAGGAAGTGCTAGTCCATCCTGATGTGACAACATAAGCAATGAAAAATGATGCCTGCAGCAAAATAGTGTTTGTCAGAACAATGAAAATAGTGAAACTGATTTTACTCATAAATTGATGCGTAGCAAGAGGTGACTGAAATGCAGTGTCCCATAAGTGCAGAACTACTGTCTATTACTGTTATTGAGAGTAGGTAGATGACCAGCCACAACTTTCCCGAATCTTGTATTTGCCATCCAGCTAAAGGAACGTTGTAGATTCAGCTGATTAAATCAGCAGACCACCCAAGACAACAACCATTTTCCATCTTTTTTTTTTTTGGGCCGGTATTGGTTAGATATTTGTGTATTAACATGAAACTTACTAATATGACTGTAGTTTTTCAATATTAAAACTAAAGAAAATCTGAAGCAAAGGAATTGGTAGATCTTCATCTACTGCTTAAGAAAAATATAGCTAAGAAAACAATCAGATTAGTTATGTTTTTCATTTTTTATCAAACTAAAACCAAATCAGTTAATCACCTTTCTTATCCCTAGAACCAAATACAAATCAAGCCAAACCAACTACCCATATCTGAATCAATTTATCAATTAAGTCAGGTTCTTATCATGCTCCTATTAAATGCATTAGAGTTAGATCAGAAAAGGGAAACAAAGAGCAAAACTAACAAAGTTTCACGTCATAATTTCAACTAATTTTGAGCTAGTACTCAATTTTTTATTTTAATAAAACAGGATAAAAATTTTGAACTAGTTGTCCATATAGAAGATATATTCTCACCTGAGCTGGAACAGCAACAGCTAGCCTTGCTGGAATAGTCTTTGGGTCAAGAAAGATATTGATCTGATATAGAACTGATCCAGAAAATACGGTTGCAAAAAAGATGTTCCATATATTGAAACAAAGTACTTTGTTACATGCACTCTTATCTATGTCACTGTGAGATATGTATCCTTGAATGGAGGAAAGGCACAGCATGATAGGGGGCGCTATCTTCAGAAACAACTGAAGAATAAGACTGGGAAGGTATCCTGTAATGACTTCACTGACAAATGTTCTGCAAGACAGAATCATAAAATTTAGTACTTTGCACAACCAAGGAGTAAGAAACAAAGAATTAAATGTGAGTGTGGGTGAAAACCATTAAAGCATTCAAATGTTACAAACTAAATGCTGGTGACGTCAATCTGATAAATAATTAAATATCATATACCATCACAAATCAGAATGATAATAATCATGAAAGAAGATCAGTTTTGTAAGAAAAAAGTGTTTCACTATTTCAAATATCATCCCTGGCTTCTTTTGGTTGATCATCATATTTCAATCTACATAATACAATTGTCCAATTGAACAATTGGTTGATAAAAGTATGTTTTCTTCCTTGAACATCACATCACATCCACACTACACAAATCAGCCCTAATAAACATATAAGAATGAACTTCTGTTTCCATATATACATTAAATTCAAATTTTTGGATTGCTATATTACTCTCTGAACTATGACATCAGTCTTCTTTTGATTCATGTGTCAACATTATATTGTCTAAACCTTAATTAAATCAATTTTTTATTCAAAGTGCGATGAAAAAAGTAACCAAGGATGGGATGGTAGAAGGGATCATTGGCATTACCACATGTAGATAAAACTGTGAAAACTTTCTAACAAATTAACTACAGTAAAAGAGAAGGGGCCTGCAGATTTTAGATAAAGCAACCAAAAGATACAGGGGGTATTATAGAGGTTTCCTAGTTACATAATTTGATTTTAAGATAATCATGCATGGAATATACTGTGGATACCAAAGATTACAAAATAAAGCATCACATTTCTTATCATAAATAACTATAGGTTCCAAAAATTATACAAAGAACAAATTGAACAACAAGTAAAGTATGATTGAAGAAGCAGATATAATTAAAAATGGATTAACACAGTCAAATTCCAAAAATCAGACTGTTGATTTTGAGTGTTGACACCACAGATATGCGACAGACTACAATGATTCTTTACCAACTCCAATCTGATTTTAAAATTAACTAAAAGGCACGATAAAATCATTAATGAAAATAAGCCCAAAATCAACAGAGCAAATTCTTTCCCTTTTCAAATTGCACTAACCCTAGTTCATCCTCTTCTTCCATGATTAGAGTACTGGCGGGAAATACACTAATATTTTGGAACCATAACTTCCTCAAGTCTCTTTAAAAGGATGTTATATTCAGAGAACAAAGGAGAGTAATATCTAGCTAATAGATTTTCTCATAGCTTGGTACAGTGTTAAATCATAAATCAAGGAAAATGATGATGAGATTAATTTAAAAAATTCTTAAAACGATTGCTTACATGGTCAGAACGCTTTCCAGGAATGGAAACCAAACTTCCAACTGACTCAGGTTAGTAAGACCTTGCACAAATACAACTGGAATAATAAATAAAATTGTGAGAAGAATAAATGTGACAACGACCACGAGCTTAGAGATCCATCTTCGTATGAATGATGAAGAAAAGAAAGGCCAGTAAACATCATGTGGTTCAGGAGCTTCTTCAGTGACCCAGTTTGTAGGATTGGTTGATTGTTGCATGTGGCAAGCAATTGCAGCACCATATCGAGACTTGAAAGAAACAAAGGCAGCTCGAACTTCCTTTACATTGAAAAAAGATGTAGATTAAAAGGAAACACCTCATACACACAGAAAAAAGAATGTGTTTTTTAAGAGAGAAAAAAAAAAAAAGACACAAAAATATATACTTATAGCTCATACTCACTGCTTATAATCAATGGCATGAATACATATCACAGCCCTCAGCTAGAATTAACCATAATAACTAATTCCCAAAAAAAATATTATTATACCATTACTTGATCCTGAAAGGAAAATCAATCCAGAATTGAGTATCACAATCACAACAGAGTTGCTACTAAGATATGACTAATGAAAGAACAACATTAAAATATACCGTAAATATCACACAGCCTCAACTTCCACGAAAACTCAGTTTCATGTTGAAGAACTGGCTTCAAATTTTCCGGTTATATATTAATTAATAAATTAAGATTTAGATAAAGAACCAATCAAAGAAAAGAAGATGACCAGGAAAATACACCCTTAATGGGCTATTAATGAGAACTGCATCAAAATTAGGGAATTGTTATTGAAGTTTAAATTTTGTTTCAGTGTCATTTCCTATTAACTTAAGATTTTAGAATTAATTTATCTTCTCCGGTTGTTCCATTCCAGTCATCTTTTCGCCATACATGTTAATAATCAAACAACTACTTAATTGATAATTTTTTCAATTCTTTAATTAAATACCTATATTTCCCTGGTGATGACGGTACTGAAATCCAACAAAATCGGTATGGAGTATTCTGGTCTTCTCATTTCACACATAAATAAAATCTTTACTTTCAATTTAAAATGTCATAAGCAATTGTTTACTTTCACATAATTAAAATAACATCTGTATATAGTTAGACAACACCTGTATATTGTTAGACCTTAAACTGTGGAACAAAATCAAATTTGAAAAGATAATAAATTATAAGTTTGTGGAAAGAAGATAAGTCAGCAATAAAGCACATACATCTCCTGCCAACGAAACCTCTGATTGCTCCAATCTCAAATTCTCCTCAATATCTTCTAACTGCTTCTCATAATGATCCAAAATATCAACCTTTTCTCCAAACAATCTAACACGCTTATACTTTTCTTGATTGGGATCAGACTGTAAGCGAGTAAGTCTTCTATACAGTTTATTTGCATCATTCTACAAAAAGCGTTTGAAACACTTATTAGAAATAATGCAAGGATGGGCATATACAGTACAAAAGATCATTGACTTCACATCTCATTCAATTGTTTGCTAAAGATGGATAATGCTAAATTTGATCAAATCTGGATCAAATCTGCAGAAGAACTATTAAAACCCAAAGCTTAAGTTGGTATGAGTTTAACAAGAAGGTTTAAGTTCTAACATGCTCCCTGATGGATCAAACAAACACAAGTTTTTTTTAATTTAATTGATAAAGTATATGGATATGAAGAAGCTCAGTTGGGTTTCTGCTATTGTCTCTTCAAAAAAATCAAATTAGTTATGGTATATAATACCAATCTTAGATTGAAGTTTTTGATAGTATGTCACTTAAGTTTGCCCTTTCTCAAAAGAATCTAAAAAGTTCCAGCTCTCATTAATTTTATGTGCAGACACAATTAACAACTAAGCAAAATGGGATCCATGCTATTGAGCATATCAACTATAAAAGTCAAAGACATGTAAGGAGAAAAATATTGCTTAATTATGTTGTCTTTTCACAAATTGACATAAAGAAAAGTGGTAAGCATAACATCAGATAAGAACTTAGGAAAAACTACTTACAACAAGACTTCGAAGTTTACTTGTCCGGCGGATAACCGTATGTGACAGATAGGTGGAAGAATGGTACTCTCTAAAGAATCTCTCAACACTGTCACTGACAGTGGTCCCAGCAGGAACAGGGATACTCCGAACTAAGATGGTAAATTGATGTGGCTGAGGTTTAGAAGAATAAAAATAGGCAATCCTTTTCAAAGATATATAATTATATTCCTGCAGAAGCAATACAGTACTTAATTTAACTTTTTCCCAGATAGATCATATATGATATATCCAGTAATACGTTCATTCAATGATTGACTAGCAATTATAGAAGATAACTATGATGTGCAACAAAAGTGAGTGAAGATGTACAAGCAAAACATAAATCCAACATAGCAACCCCGTCAAAAAAGTACTAGATTTATAGTTTCACCAGAAGGTTGGAGCTTTAGAGATAGACAGGTTCTGTTGGTTCAAGTATTGATATACCATCAAGCTAAATGTATACAGTATCACACTTACATAATAAAGTTGATAACAGACGAATACGGTGACAAGATACACAGCACTGAAGTGAATCCATAACCTAAAGAAGAAAACACCAAAAAAGGTGAGTTTTTCTTGACAGATGCATAACATTTGTAAGCCATATTGCTATCACATGTTCTTAGGAGCAAAACCAATTAGCCTAGAAAATAAAAACATAATAAGACATATTATTTAGTGCTTCGTGATTCCCATGTTCATCTATTGTGATAAAGGAATAAGAAGCCTCATTTTGATTTCTTTCATAATGTAGTGCTTTTGCATATGAAAGATTGAAAACATATTGGAAATAAGTAGCATAGCAGAATTAATCAGTCCCATAAAAAGTTGAAAATACTTAAAAATAAGTTGAACATTTTACAGTTGAGAAATATAAAACACAGGAATAGCCTATATTTTCTTACACCAACGACCATTTCAATCTATAGGAACATGTAACACAAGATATGCTCCTATAACTGAAGCTATCTATATGTATATGATTGAGCTCAACATGACAGAAGCATGTTGCTGATCATGACTCTATCAATTTGCTCACTCAACACAACTTTGAGTTATTCTTGTCCTCTGTCAAGATTTCAAACCCAGTTGGGTACCAATTGAATAGAATGCATTGTCACCCCGTGTGCCTCCCATAAATTTAAATAGTAGTCAGCAAAGTTATTTTTTTAAAGTAAATTCACTCGTAAGTCCCTATTCATGTTAAAGTTGAACTTAGAGATCTGAAATTACCATTTTGAGCCACTGTTAACATTTGAAATGGTAAAGACATCCAGAGAATTATTTGAAAAATCAGCAAAGTCAACCTCATGAAGCTGAGTTCCCGTGCAGTTAACTGGAAGAATAACAAAAATTCCTATAATCCCAGCGAACACAAATATTTTCAAACTGTAGAGTCAGATGAAAAAGCATGAAGTCAGAAAATATACAATACAAAACCAATAAATTAAGCTCAATTACGCAGGAACAGAGATAAAACTAAGAAGACATAGAAAAAGATAAAAATTTGTATGTTAAACCAAAAATTATATGTAGGTTCATCTGCAATACGTATCCACATGAAGGTGCAGAAAAAGACATTTTATCTCTCTGAGGCTTATTTAGTAGAAATGAGCAGGTGAACCAATTTCTCTGGAGATAACTCTCCATTAAGCAGTTGAGACACAAGTCCAATAGCCCATTTGTCTTTTGTTCAAAAATACTAGTAAAAGGCCCAAAGTACCTGAAGGTAATAATCCGCATAAAAACTACAGCATCCAAGCCTGAGGATGCCAATAGGTCATCTTCAGTGAGCTTCCATGCCCTTTTGACCCAACCAGTAGAAGGTATTAATCTTTCTAGATTAAAATTACTTCTTCGTTTAGAACTTCCTTCTGCCAGCAAGCGCGGTATATAAACTTCATAATGAATTGGTTGTTTCCGCAATATAGAATACAGTGTGATGAACAAAATACAAAGGCCAGAATTTATTCCTAGAGATGTTAGAAGAGCAGACACAAGCATTTCGTCAAATTAATCTCAAGATCTTGGAAATGATAAATCTACCAACTGCTAACCTGCACCAAGCACAAAGTAACTACTTGAGTATCCCAAGATTAAATTCACACGTCAACTATATCAAAAAGCGCAGAACTAAGAAGCAGAACAGAATGAATTAAATTTGTGCATTAAAGCCTAAAACACTTACTTGTGTACTACAGCATAACCGAAAAATACGAAAATGCATCAACCTAATCTTTTCTTAAACCATTCTAAATATAATTTCACAGGTAATCAATTGAAAGCAATTTTAAGATATAACAGAGTCCCGTCCATTAAGTACATGTTTGGTAGCATGAAAATAGATTTAAATTTTGAATCCAACGGAATTAGAGATGCAAATCCCTTATATTTAAGAAAAATAAAAACTCCTCCAACTTAATAAAAATCCGATTTCAAGGCCAATATTCATACTGCCAAACAAAGCCTTAAAGTCTTTCATTAACTATAATCTCTTTTCTTTTAGCAAGAAGAAAACGAAACCAATCAACTAAGAGTTTAAAAGAAAACATAAAACAGACGAACCTGCAACTGTATGAACTTTCACCAGAATTGAAGTGAAGCGAATGTCACTAGTAGCTACTAAATTTCACTGTGACCACAGATTCAAAAGTAGCTAACACGACTAACAGTTAAAGCTACCTTGCTCCCTTACTTGAAGTCTAGATATTCGTCCTGATTACCAGAACTGCCCCGAACGTGCTGGTTGCTTCTTCTTGAAGATTCAATAATTGAGCAAAAATGAACCTTCAGTGTCGTATTTTTTTAAAATGTTCTAGTCTTGATCTGAGTGAATGGCTTCAGAAGAAATTGCGCTATTTGATATTTTGATTCAGTGTACAAGAAGAAGCGGATATTTTGGGAATCTAAATTTGAAATAGGAACTGTCGGTAAGGCTAGCGGGTTGGGATCAGGGATACAGGGGCGCTTAACTGCCAGTCAAACTTAATACCACTGGAGAAAAATAAAAAAGAAATTAAAAACAAATATGCTACCCGCCATTTTATTGAAAAAAAACACTTGGATTTTGGATTTATACAAAAGAAGGTTATTAGGGTTAGTTGAATAACTCTTTTAGGCAATGCTTGAAAATTTAATTAAAAATATTTTAAGAGACAAGAATGAAGAACCCAGTTATATCAATTAATTAATGATAAAACTACGAATAGTTATGATTTCTTCAATAATTACAGTGTAATTAATAAAGAAACTAATTCTAATGATAATGATATGTGAATTTTTTATATCTAAGTGAATGTTAGGTTTGGAAGTGTGCTGCGATTACTCTCATTTCATTATCTTGTTCTGATCACTCTCTCAATTTTGTTATAGCATGAGTAAGAAAGAGAAAATATTTAAGAAATAAAATATTACTTNCAAATATGCTACCCGCCATTTTATTGAAAAAAAACACTTGGATTTTGGATTTATACAAAAGAAGGTTATTAGGGTTAGTTGAATAACTATTTTAGTCAATGGTTGAAAATGTAATTAAAAATATTTTAAGAGACAAGAATGAAGAATCCAGTTATATCAATTAATTAATGATAAAACTACGAATAGTTATATATTTCTTCAATAATTACAGTGTAATTAATAAAGAAATAATGACATGTGAATTTTTTATATCTAAGTGAATGTTAGGTTTGGAAGTGTGCTGCGATTACTCTCATTTCATTATCTTGTTCTGATCACTCTCTCAATTTTGTTATAGCATGAGTAAGAAAGAGAAAATATTTAAGAAATAAAATATTACTTTTTTTAATACTAGATGGCAAGCCTGCATAGGTTTATTTATTATATTTTTTTTTTATTATCGAATTTTTATATTTTAAGAAATTGTAAACGTTTATTGTTTCACAAAAAAAATATGTCAAATATTAATTATAATAGAATATTTTGTTATTGTTCTTTTTTTTTTTTTCAATCAGGTTTTTATGTTTAAAGATTGTTGAGAATCATTCAATCGTTATATGATTGCCATTTAAGATGTCGTTAATTGGTCCCTGTGTTTGCTGCTTATTGGTGCTGATAAAATAGGGATGATTCACATGCATTCAATTAATGTATGCAGTATAGATCTTTCACATTCCTCTTTGAATTTGATAAAATACAAGTGATGGAAGATTGAAATGGTCAGTTTGTAATTCAGCATGAATTGAATTAATTGAATTCAATACATAGAAGCTGAAAGTCCCGCAACTTATGAAAGTGGTTTTGACACAAATAAATTAATTAATTGAAGAACGATATAATACTGAAACATTTTAGTGATAGGAATATATTCCCTTTCAAAGCAAAAGAAGAGCTGCAACACTTTTCTTACAACAATTTGGTACATAATAATATAATTGAAATGACAATTTTGCCCTTCTTAAAATTAGTAGTTCCTGCATGGAATATAACCATTGCTTTGAGGTCCAACAGTTAATCTTTCACCATTTTAAAAGGCTGCCCAGCACCATGAAATGAGCAAAAATAAAATAAAATAAAACTTATCATCCTTCATCATTCAACACAAACTCTATTCGCCACAAAACACAAACTATTACTGGCTACAGAGTCTACAACAAAAATATGTATAACCTATCTAAGAATGTAAGTTTGCGACTTTTTGATAATAAAATATGTTTCATTGATAAACACTTTGCAATATAACATTGTTTATAAGACACAGAAAAACAAAATGAGTAGACAATATATATATATTTTTTTAAATGCTTCATATTGTGTCTACGCCAAAAAAGAAGTGTTCATTAAATTATTCCGAATGTCACCCCCATCAATGCTCAGTGTGACCATCACTACCAAAGGTTGGCAGTATAATAAAGGAATCAAAACTGAATCAATTTACGTTCAAAAATAAATCAGTAATAATATGAAATTTCATAAACAAACAATGGTTTAAAGTAAGCACATGTGAGTGGGGCAATGACTGGCTACACTTGGAATGACCACTTCCGGTTGCTCAACAGGTGGTGTATAGGTTGTTGTTATAGGTGAAACAACTCTTAGTCAAGCATAGAGAGAAAGATGGGAACTGTAGTTCAAGCTCCATGAATATATCAAAAACTGATAATGAAACATGCATCATTGATTCTCCAAAGAGCTTGATGCTGGAGTTTAGTTTGTCCTCAAGTCAAGAGGTTAGTCAAATTAGCCAAATATGAATATGAATATCCAAGAATTTATCAAACATCCGCATATGTTTTAATCCAAACTTAAGTTCTACGCAAAAGTTCACTAAAAACTTAAAAATTTATATTTGAAAAACTCTTTCTGCAAGAAGTTTGAGTTTATACTCAAAGAAAATAATGGGTTACTAAATTTAGTCTGGTTGCATAAAAGCACCAAGAAAAAAAAAATTCAATTGCATTTAGACATTAAGAAAACTTAAAGAGCAAGTGTTTTTTAGATTACACTATCAAATTTTTACTCTATAAAAGAAAAGATTACTTTTCAAATATAGTCTCTGCTTTCCATCATGTTAGCTGCTGGGTTTGAGAACTAATCAAGTTCATTTATAATTTTTTTTTAAAAAAAAAAACAATTAACAGGATGTTACTCATTTATCCCTCACACACACATGCACATGCACACACATAAACCCATATTATATATGCATTAAATGTGACAAAGTAAGAGAAAGTTGCGCAATTCTTGGAAGCTAATACATTGTGCAGTAGCTAAAATATATCATATCCAATTTGATGGAGATCTATGGACAAAACCATACCATTATGTTGTGTACCATAATCAATCTATAACTTCACATGGAAAATATATGTAATGTATGAAAGAAATAATACCAGACATTGACGAAGTTAGAATGCCATCACCAATAACCATGCTGGTTCCCAAAAGCACTACCAATAGCAATAGAAGTTACTCGCTCTTTAATTGATCTTATGTTTCATCTAGTTTTCTAGCACAACTCTTGTGTTATACAACGGGCTGCAATCTCACAGTACAAACATCATAAGTTCACGCCTTAGTCTAACATATAAAAAAAAAAAAATAATGAGAAGGAAACAAAAAAGAAATGAAACTTGCTAGAATCATTCACAGTGGCTTCAAAAACAACCTCATCAACCTACAGGAAATCCCAATTCAATTAAATAACAAAAACAATAAAACACCACCATCATATTTCCAATAAACATTTGAATTCTTCACACAAACATACCCGCCTAGCAAGGCCAAGGCTAACACGATAAAGAATCTTGAAATCAGACATCTTGAACCTCATAACATGCCCTGACTCTTCTTCCTCCACAGAAACAACCTTAGATTCAACTCGAGAAACAACCTTCCTCAAAGATAAACACTGGACTCCAAAACTTCTCCTCTAAAACGTCACACATGACTTTGACTTCCCACAAACTGCCTACTAATCAGCCTTGTTGACAAATTCCCACTTAAACTCCATCTCTCAACACCCTCCAAACCCGCACTGAAAACAATCCCACATATCGCCATATAGCCAAACTGCAAAAAGAAAATTTTGGATCATTCTGAGAACAAAAACAACTGTAAACGTTTAGTTCTCATGTCATTTTAAGGAACATATAAAAAAATCAATATTTAAATCTAAGTCATTGAATTATACAAAGAAATGAATCATTCAACACATATAGAATAAGTTTAAGTTCAATTGTTGAGAAACTTATTCACTACTTAATTAAAAAACTTTTAAAATTTAAATCCAACCCATTAAGTTATACAATGAAATGGAATCTTTAAGAAATGGATTAATAGGTGTAAAATAGTAATGTTGAATTATGCGTTAACTGTAGAATAAATTGTATTTATATTAGCTTCTGGTATCATCATTCAGTGGGAACAATATACTGTGAATCTTTTATCGATTTTATTGATAATAGAACTGTTTATATATATAGTTCTATTTTTTTCCTTGAGGAATATCAAGTTCCTTTTCTTTGGCAATAATCAGGGATTCACGTTTCCGTAAATCGAATATTACATGTATGGTTGAGCCTGTTATTTCTAACAAAACATTCATTATATCTTTGTTCATCACTCTGGCAGTGTTGAGTCTGTCCAGTGTGACTTTAAGGTTTTGTAGAATACCTTCCAGTTCAGGCAAACCATCTGACGTTGCTGCTTGACCTGCTAAAAATTAAAAAATGGACATGTAAAAGTAGATATATAGAAGGAATATAAGAGTAATCAGTTGATGTTATTTATCGCACGCTTCTGTTTGTTTGGATTTTGGATTGACAATAGTTGGTCTTTTGTCTTCCATTTGTTAATGGTATATGTGTGAAATGAAAGAAATATTTGAAGGTGTATGGATTGTTGAATTCTCTACTCTTATATAATTTTAGATGTCATTAAGTAATATTATATGATAATTAATTATTACAACAACTATTCGTGTTATGTTCAATGTAATTGGATTATTGCTAATTAATATGATTTTTGATATTTTTTAGTAAGTGTTTGCAAGTTATTGGTTATGGTTATTTTGATTTAAATGTATTATTGTTATTGGATGAATTTAAAATTTTCAGATTTATATTAAATGTTAAATGATAATACGTTTTATAAAAAACATTTTTCGTTATTATGTTTGATATTTTTGTTTAATTAAATGTGAAGGGGTAAAGATATATTAATATTAATAATAATTAATTGAATGTGAAGGGGTACAAAAATATTAATAATAATTAATATGCATGAATGAACGTTGAATATTAATGGATTAATAAAGTGCATTATTGAATTTCATAAATGTGAAAAGATATGTTGTATCTCTATCAAATTAAAAGAGAAATGTGAAATATTTCAAATTAAAAGAGGAATGTGAAAGATTTGTATTGAATACATTAATTGAATGCATGTGAATAATTTTTATTATAATAATCTCTTAATATTCATGGAAATCAATAACACACGAGCGAATCATTAGTAATTTATCAAATTAAAAGAGGAATGTGAAAGATCTCCAATTAAAAGAGGAATGTGAAAAATTTGTATTGAATACATACATTAACTGAATGCATGTGAATAATCTCTATTATATCAAGCCGAATAAACAGCAAACACGTGGACCAATTAATGACATCCTACATGACGATCATATATCAATCCTACGTGGCATCAAAAGAACCAGTTTGCTTCAGCATTATATAAGTATATAGATTTTGATTGTATTACTCAACAGATTATGAGCTAGAGTCCTTTGTTAATAAGAGTGGTCATTAGAGCTCTTATTCGATCAATAATTTCAAAATCCTAAAGGATTAATTAAAGTGCGCATAAACCAACTCAAACACTCCAGATCAAGTCATAAGAAAATATATATATTTTTGTTGTCTTTTTACACAAACTTAAAATTTACATGAATTATGAGAAAGTGAACCATATATATTATCATTAACTTAGAATACACTAGAAATATTTTGATATGCTAGAATATTGTTGATTTTTCAATTAAAAACAAAAACTATTTAATTATGCTATAAAGAGACATTTCTATCTAATATTACCACGGTTATCATATAAGGTCTGTTAAATTTATATAATTAATCAGTCTATTATAAATCATCAGCATAAATTAAAACTTTTATACTTTATAAAAAAAACCTTTCATACATAATAAAAAAAATAAAAAATAAAAGTTTTGTTGTAGGGTTTGGGCAGGAGCCGCGCGAACGCAGGCTCCCCCTAACACAAATTATGACGTACACTCTCCCACTTGGGGAGATGTTAGGCCGGCGCACCCACAACGTGCAATGTGGGCCGCCTGCCTAGGCTACGACTTTTCCTGATCAGCCGTAAACCCCGTCCAGGTAAGTATGTTTTCCATTCACAATCCGTTCCTTTTATTTATTCTCCGCCCCTTTGCCAATGTTGTTATTTTTCCATGTGGGACTAATTGTCCAACTGAAATCCTCATTCATGGTTAAATTCTTATTTGAGCAAAAGGAAAAAAAGTAAGATGGATTAATTACTGAATTTTAGTAATTCCAAGTTCCAATCCAACTACAAACTCATAGAAATGCGTTGCATTGGCCCACCATATCGCCTACAACTACAAGTAAATCTAAGACAGACAGAGCAGCAAGAGGTTATAGATCTAAGATATTTTCACCTCAAAATATCCCTTCACAGGATATTTACCAATCCACATCATTTATCCAAATGGATCATAACCTCTCTCTGTCTCTCGTACACTTGTTTTTTTTGACTGAGCACCGATCCTTCACATTCAAGATCTCAGTAGCAGCTAGCGGATTCAACCAATAATGGACGGTTCTTCTCAGCTTGTAGAGGAAGGCGTGAGCTTGAACGAGTGGGAGCAAATTCAACTGCCATCTCTTAGTAACAATACACCACCACTCCCCACAACTCCATCAAGTGTATGGGATGTGGTTGCCATTAGAGACAACTATCTCCAAGATAGCCTCTCCTTTTTTCCCCCAAATCAGCATAAAGGTTTACCAGTTCCTCCACAGGTTGAAGAAGAACCAAATTCGCCATCAGGCTCATCACCATCATCAACTGTATCGTCGTCGAGCCCGGAGTTGAGGCCACGAAATGTGAATGATATTTGGAGGGTCTTAAGATTGCGTTCTACGGTTCTGTGTTCTGGGATAGTTAGGATTGCTGCCAAGGTTCGTTACCGTGCAGTGAATTTAGTGGGGTTTCGGTCGTTTTTATCGGTGACTGGAGTTATAGCGGCGGTGTTGCTTTCTCTGTTGTACGCTAGGATGCGGAGATGGCGTTCAAGAGTTCAGGAAGAGAACAATCGCCTCATTCTTTTAGTCAAAGAGAAAGACCAGGTTCGTTTCTTAATGAAAATATAAAAATTTAAGGTATGAAATAATCATTCAAGCGTTTCAAGTCATCTTGGATCTATTGAACACTTTACAAATGAGTCTAGATAAATCACAAATCTTGTAAGTGGTTATTTTGTGGAACACCAATGCAAAACCTCTGAGCAATCCACCTAGATAGCTAAACTATCACCGTCCGACCACGAAGCTAGTGGTTCATAGGTAGGGATTCGGGTACTCAAAAAATTACTCACGTCTTACAGAAGGATACTTAAACCTCTTTTATCATCAACTTGTTATGATGTTGTGTGCTGATACTTTCATTATCCTAATGACCTAATAATTAGCCATGTCAAAATTATAAGTGTGTTATTATTTTAATTAGTGGAAGTTGCAACTTAACGCTTTTGAATATGAAATGCCTGAAGAGTTTGTTCCCAAAGAGGTTTGGCCTAATGAGAGAGAGTTCATTCAGTCTTGACATAGTTTAATGTTTGAGTCTTCTTTATGATGAGACTTTCGTGATGATATGGGGTTGGGATTTAGTAAAGAGATTTTTTCTTAAAGAAAAAAATAAGAAGATAATGGAACGAATGGAGTAGGGAGCTTCACACTTGACATAAAATCCAAATTCTGCTCCATGCTAATCAATCAGGAAGGTTATAATGTTTTACCTAACACATGATCTTATCTTTACTATAACATTGACAAATCAATAATCATATTATTAAAGCTTTTATTGGTTCTAGAATTAATATTTAGAGAATTTATTCCATATTGAATTATGTGCTCTGTCTTCTTCCTGTTTAACTTCTTGTGTGTTGCCGAGCATGTTTCAAGGAAAAAAGAATTGATAAATTGAATGCAATAATACCATGTCACTATCAACTGTAATTAATTAATTCGATATCTAATTATTGTGTTATTGATGTAATTTTATTTTGCAGAAGATTGGGCAGCTCTTGATTCAAGTTGCACAGATGAATGAATTATTGTCAGCACGCGTCAAGGTCCCGGTGATTCGAATTCGTTGATTGATGATAACACTAACCTTGATGTGCCGACAGCGTATATGCATGAAACAATAGAAAGCCAAATACACCCATATATATATATATTTGTACACGTTGAGCTCTTCTATATTGAGAGTTGGTCACTGAAACCACTTATTATTTTCTTCAAATTACATGACAATCATGACGGTGTGAATCCTAGAAATACTCATAAAAGTAGAAGACATTTGTTTTGAATATCTCCAAAATCCAAATCATTACACTATATTATATGATATAATCTAAGTATGTAAATCATAAACCCCTTCGTTATATTCTTCATTTCCTTTTCCATATGAGGTTTTGGACCTAGAAATCATAACATTGTTGGATTGATTTTACAAGGGAATGATTTAGCTAAGAGAATATCCACTCAACACCATTGCAAGTGTCGCTCCCACTTATCACTCTTAACACTTTACATTAATCTGTTACAACTATAAATTATTTAATCATCATTATTCCTTTATTCTTATTGAGAGATCCCAAATTTTAAGTAATTACATTTTAAGTAGATTCAAGTTAAATTAATTGTAATATATATATATATATATATATTTTTTTTTTTTTGGTGAACGGGGTGTCTAAATCAGTTTGTAAACACCTCAACTAATCTTCGAAGCTCTGAAGTTAACGATCGGGTAAATCTTCAATTGTCACCCCTGTTAACAATCGAGATGAATCAAACTCAGGATTTCTTGAATAATACCCCAAAAGTCCCTATTCAACTACTCGACCACCCTTTTATTATAATATAAACTTATTCTATTTTTATACATCTTTAATAGTCATATCATCGCAAAGTAATGTTTTAAACAGGATGTGTATACATAATCATACACTTCTATTAATATTACATAGTTTATTATTGATTAATGAATTTTAAAATAAGTGATTACGTGATAAATAAGGTCGGTATTACCTAGTGGGTCGGGTACTTGATCAAATCCGACTTGTTGGGCGGGGAATTACTTTCATTGGTACCCGTTAAAATGAAAAATATTAAGGGTAAATCTGGAAATTTTTGTTCAAACGTCAACGTACCCACGATTAATAATTTACAATTTTCGTTGTCTTTCCGTTTCCAGCCCTTTTGGGTTACAATACAAAACTTGAGGGGTTTTTTCGTAATATTCCCCTTCTACTTTCATTTTCTCTGCTGTGTCTCAAAACTCGAGCTTCACTTCCTTTGCTTTATTCTATCATAATTTTTTTTTTTTTTTTATTCTGCTTTTTCTTTTCTCTCCTCCGATAGACGGTTCCGAAGGAGAGATCTCAGTCGTCCGATCCATCAAGGTGAGCCATTTGTTTACGATCTTACTGCTTTGTACTTGATAATCACTCTCCTCATTCTCTACAATTTCTCTTCCTCCTGTTCCTACGTTTACTTTTCAGTAGCACATTTTACTTTCAGTATGAAGCTGAAGTATTCGAGTCTGGAATGGATTGCTTATTCCGGTTAGCGTCGTGTCTGTTTTGAATTCAGTTCAATTTTGTTTTATTTTTTTTAATTATTATTTTCACTGAACGACATCGTTTAGCTATTTTTGGTTCTTTGTTCTACGTTCAAACGTTAATTTTGGTTCTTATGGCGGTTTAAATGGCTAATGCTGTTGAATGCTCGAAAAGATCTAACCCTAGTTCACAGCGCACATGGCAATTTTTTTTTTTTGTATGTAAAATTTATAATTATAAGCAAGACTGTTGCAGAGTTTTAATTTAAGGACAGGGTGAGAATAATTTGACGGGTGTATAGGTTTGCTTCATAGATGGTTTAAGACCAGCTGCCCTTTGCTTTTTTGTACTTACAATGATTGCTGATTTTTTATGTGGTTCTGGTTGGATCTTAAACTTTGGGACTCTTAATTTTGACTCATATCTGTTGATGATATTGTAGCTTCAATCTGCTGGTTAAAGGGCTAATGTATGTGCTTTAATTGTTTTTTTTTTTTTTCGTCAATTGTGTAGGATATGCTTTGACTTCCCTATAGAGCAGATAATATAGATACATATAATTTAGTTTTAGTACAGAGAATATTGTACAAAAATGGGGCGTCTAAAGCTGCAATCCGGAATCAAAGCGATTGAGGAAGAACCTGAGGACTATGACACAACTTATTCAAACAAAGCTACTTTAGCATGCATGATTAATTCAGAAGTAGGTGCTGTATTGGCAGTCATGAGGAGAAATAGAAATGTAAGATGGGGGGGTCAGTATATGTCTGGAGATGATCAGCTAGAACACTCCTTGATCCAGTCTCTGAAGACATTAAGGAAACAAATCTTCTCATGGCAGCATCCATGGCATACCATCAACCCTGCTGTGTATCTCCAGCCATTTTTAGAGGTGATTCGATCAGATGAAACTGGTGCACCAATCACTGGTATTGCTTTGTCGTCAGTCTACAAGATCTTAACGCTTGATGTCATCGATCCAGATACTGTTAACGTTGAAGAGGCTATGCACTTGGTAGTAGATGCTGTGACTAGCTGCCGCTTTGAAGTGACTGATCCTGCATCAGAAGAAGTGGTGCTGATGAAGATACTTCAGGTTCTTCTGGCTTGTATGAAAAGCAAAGCATCTGTAATGTTGAGTAATCAGCATGTTTGTACCATAGTAAACACTTGTTTTCGTATAGTTCATCAAGCAGGATCAAAAGGTGAGTTGTTACAGCGCATAGCTCGTCACACGATGTATGAACTTGTTAGGCGTATTTTTTCACATCTACCAGATATTGATAACACAGAACATGCATTGGTCAATGGAGTTGCTGCTGTTAAGCAGGAGGTATAAGTGCATGTTCCATCTTCCTTTTTCAGTTCATTATCTTCTCTTATGTAATGCTTCTATTGGTTGCTAGGAACTGGAAGGAAATAAAGAAAAGAACTTGGAGAGAATTTAGAAATCATAGTTCAAGTTGCATCTCTGTCGTCGGTTTATTGATTGATAATGGATTTGTCTGGTCATTCTTTGTAAGCTGTCTATGATAGTTTGGAATTGCAAAAAATTATTCATTTTTTTTAATCTACACGTGGTGGGTCATATTTGTAAGTTTTCTATAACTGCCTGGAGTTGTAAAAAGTTACTTCTTCATCTTTTTTAATCTACACTATATTCTTGGTAATCAAATTACAAAACTAAGAATCTTTTCTACTGTCTCTCGCTCTTTTTCCTTCTGTCCACTGTGAAAATTTGTTGTGTTTCAACATCATAGACGGTGGCTGGCAGATACATTGGTTGCAAGTGATTACTGGTGTGGCTGTTTAACAAAACAGGGTGATATTATTTGAAATTAAGCTCCTCTATTCTCTTGTTCATGGAGTCATTGATGGGAGTGAGATGGCATAAGGATGAATTTAACTCGAGCTCTGGCTATTGTGTTAGTGCCTGAAAGAAAAATATCTCTTTGTATTTCTTTTTACTGGCTAGAGAAGTCAACCTCTCAATGATTAGAATCACTGACATGTTTTACGGGCTATGACTCCTGCAGATTGGTGGGGTAGATTATGATTATGCTTTTGGGAGCAAGCAAATGGAGAATGGAAATGGTAATTCAGAATATGATGGTCAACAATCCTCAGCAAATTTTGTTTCTGCTACAGGCGTGGTAGCTAATGCAATGGATGAAAATACAATTGGAGCTGGTACTGGAAAGGAGGCTGTTTCATATGATTTGCATCTCATGACTGAGCCATATGGAGTCCCTTGCATGGTGGAGATATTTCACTTTTTGTGCTCTTTAGTGAATGCTTCAGAGCATATGGCAATGGGTTTGAGGTCTAATACTTTAGCATTTGATGAAGATGTGCCGCTTTTTGCCTTGGGCTTGATTAACTCAGCCATAGAATTGGCTGGGCCTGCTATTCGCTGTCACCCAAGACTATTGAGTTTGATTCAAGATGAATTATTTCGTAACCTTATGCAATTTGGTTTGTCCATGAGCCCACTTATTCTTTCAATGGTATGTAGCATTGTGCTCAACCTGTATCACCATCTCCGCACTGAATTGAAACTACAGCTTGAGGCTTTCTTTTCCTGTGTGATCTTGCGGCTTGCACAAAGCAGATATGGGGCTTCGTATCAGCAGCAGGAGGTTGCCATGGAAGCTCTTGTTGACTTTTGCAGACAGAAAACATTCATGGTGGAGATGTATGCTAACTTGGATTGTGACATAACTTGCAGCAATGTTTTTGAAGACCTAGCTAATTTGTTGTCAAAGAGTGCATTTCCAGTGAACTGTCCTTTGTCTGCAATGCACATCCTTGCTTTGGATGGTCTGATTGCTGTTATACAGGGAATGGCTGAGAGGATAGGCAATGGATTGCTAAGTTCAGAGCAAACTCCAGTAACTCTTGAAGAATACACCCCGTTCTGGATGGTGAAATGTGACAACTATAGTGATCCTAATCATTGGGTTACATTTGTCCGCCGGAGAAAGTATATCAAGAGAAGATTGATGATTGGAGCTGATCACTTTAACCGGGACCCAAAGAAAGGATTAGAGTTTCTCCAAGGAACACACCTTCTGCCTGACAAACTTGATCCCCAAAGTGTTGCTTGCTTTTTTAGGTACACTGCTGGGTTAGATAAGAACCTTGTTGGAGATTTCCTAGGAAATCATGATGAGTTTTGTGTTCAGGTTCTTCATGAATTTGCTGGGACTTTTGACTTCCAAGACATGAATCTGGATACTGCTCTGCGGTTATTCTTGGAAACTTTTCGGCTGCCCGGAGAATCACAAAAGATACAAAGGGTGCTTGAGGCATTTTCAGAGAGATACTATGAGCAATCACCTCAGATTCTAGTGAACAAGGATGCTGCACTTTTATTATCCTATTCACTTATAATGCTTAACACCGATCAACATAACATACAGGTGAAGAAAAAGATGACAGAAGAGGATTTTATTAGGAATAATAGGCACATCAATGGAGGCAGCGATCTACCACGAGATTTCCTGTCAGAACTTTACCATTCTATTTGCAAGAATGAGATTCGCACAACTCCAGAGCAAGGCACTGGTTTCCCTGAAATGACCCCAAGCCGTTGGATTGATTTAATGCACAAGTCTAAGAAAACAGCTCCATATATTGTAGCCGATTGCAGAGCCTACCTTGACCATGATATGTTTGCAATAATGTCGGGCCCAACAATTGCTGCTATCTCTGTTGTATTTGATCATGCAGAACACGAAGAAGTTTACCAAACATGTATTGATGGATTCTTAGCTGTTGCAAAAATTTCTGCGTGCCATCATCTTG